TATATAATATTAATTCATTAATTTAAAAAATAATTAATTAATAAAAAATATCATTACTAAAAACAAATGAAGTAAAGGAAAAAAAAAACATGCAAAGGCATGTAGGTGCAACACCATGGAAGCCGATGACAAACGGCGTCACGAAGTCAATCAACTGGAGTGTGACAGAACATTAATGGTGTTTGTTAGATTTAACCGGAAGTTAGTTTTTCGTTCAATTTGGACCTTATTTGAGAATGTTCGTGAAGTTCAGGACATTAATTGAACGCAATTGAAGTTTGGGTCCAACATTACGAATTTTGTGTAAGTTTGGGTCCATATGTCATATTTATGCCAATTAAAAGCATGAAGGATGTCCCCAACAGGATAACACAACAGGAGACGGTCATATGGTCCCATTGAATTACAGTCTTAGCCTAACTGCACATTGCACCTTAGAGTGCACGAGGGACGTCACCAATAGAATAACACAACAGTAAAAATGGTGTTGCGTACCAAGTGATCTGATCCAAGATTGTTTGTTTATCCCGAGTCTCTGAGGAAACCTAGAAACAGTGGCAATAACGGTTAGAATTTATGAAAAAGACACCACAATAACAAAGCTACTTAAATCAGTTCAAGAAATTGGACAAAAGGTTAAAATATTCACATGTAAAGGTGCTAAGGTTGGGAAACACAATGCATCTATGCTATCTAGGGAAGACAAGAATTTAAGCTGTTTCTGCATGCTAGCAACCAAAAGCTGGAGATTTTAGAGCGAGAATTATAACCAGAATGTGGAAGCAATTCAGAAATTTGTTAATGCAAAGAATAAGGGACAGCATTCAACTTTCATAAAAATACATGCATGGCTAAGATTAATATAAAGATGGTGCCTTGTAATTATTAACAAGTTCAACCTAAAGAATAAATTTAGTTAGTTACCATGTGCTGCTCAACATCTACCCAATCCAATTGTGCCTTCCCCGATGAGTTAAAAGTAAAGCTGATGTTACTTAAAACTTATGTTGGGTAAACTCAGTCAAAATTCATCATCTTGTCCAACAGTTGAAAGCAACCTGAAAGACATTTGGGAGAACAAAATACATTAGCAACCAAAAGGGTCAAAAAGAAAACTGTTAAGGGTATTCCAACCTCTCCTGTTACCCTACCAGAGAAGAGAAGAAATCAAGAGCATTATAAGATAGAAGAGTTTAATAAGTCTCTGCTTCTTTTCCCAGTTGAGCTGGTTATAGATCTCAGTTACATCAACCAAGTGCTGTCTCCGCCAGTACCTGATCATTGCAATCACAGACATACCATCATCAAATGTGTAGTCCTATTTATGAAAAATGGTACCTTATGAGCTATTGTGTTCAGAGACACCAAAACCATTCTGAAAACAAAAACAAAAGAATTCCCACTTGCAGTAATCTTATATGAATCTATAAAAAGAAGAAACCATATTGTCCATAGTAATTTGTAAGGGAATCTATAAAACTTACAATCTGATATCATAACATAGGTATGGAAGGGATAGGAGACACATGAACCAGTGTCTTGTTATGAGATAGGCAATGCACAAGACTCCTTGCATGACAAATTCAGGTACAACACTCAAATTTATCCATTTTGCGGAATCATATGGGTTACTATGATCGAATTGGAGATCAGCCAAACACATAAGCTGCAAATGCAGTGAAGAATTTTCTCGTGTAAGAACACCACATTTCAATTTATCTACCACACAATTTGGAAACGAATTCAAACATTCATTGGATATTGGAAAAAAATCATTAAACCAAGACAAGAACATGGATTCGCTCGTCCTTACAACTATCAAACCGGACAGAAATGACTAGGAATGCATGAAAATTAAAAAAAGATGAAAAAAAGGTTGTGCTTGAAACAGAGATGCTGACCTGATAACCGATAATGGCGAGGAGAGAGATGAGGAGGAAGAAGGTTAAGAGCCATCCAAACAGGTCTCCCATTGCCTCCTTCCTCCCTTCGTTCTCTCCCTCTGCCAGGTCCGACCCTTCTTTAATCTTTTCTCCATTTTTATGATTATGAATCTCCCGCGCCATATGGGCTCTAAACTTTGAATATTTTACGGAGCCTTTTAAATATTAACTCGGCCCACTAAATCCAACCAGATCCTACTTGGCCACTCCAGGCCCAATAAGAACTGGGCTATCATTTTGAGGCTTGAAAAA